CACACACACACACAGACACTTGCACACACACACACACACACGCGCGCGCGCAGACACACACATGCGCGCAGACACACACATACAGAGGCACTGACACACATATACACCCACTCAGAAGCGCACACAGGCACAGACACACAGCCACACACACACACAGACTCAGAGACACATACAGACACTCACACAGACAAACACAAAGACACGCACACAAACACTCATACACACATGCAAACTCAGGCTTATACACATACAGATGGACAGACACACACACACATGCACACAAACTCACATACACACAGACATTTACAGACACACTGACACAAACACGCACACACACACACGCATACACACACATACCCACACACAAACACACACACACATGCACACACACACGCACACTACAGACACACACACACCCTCTCTCTCTCATTTTCGTTCGCTCGTTCTTTCTGTGCACGTGTGTGTTGTGTATAATGTGTGTGTGAGTGAGTTTTTGTTTGTGTGTGTTTGTGTGTTTGAATCTGTATGTGCGTGTGTGTGTGTTTTTGTGTGTAAGTATTCTGTCTGTGAGTGTGAGTATGTGAGCGTGAGTCTGTGTGTTTGTTTGAGTGAGTCTACGTGTGTGTGTGTGTGTGTGTGTGTGTGTGTGTGTGTGTGTGTGTGTGTGTGTGTGTGTGTGTGTATGTGTAAGCCTGAGTGTACACGTGTGTACGACTGTTTGTTTGTGTGTGTGTGTGTGAGTGTGTTTGGGGGTGTGTGGTGTGTCTGTGTGTCTTTGTGTGAGTGTGTGTCTGTATGTTTGTTTGTGTGAGTCTGTATGTGTGCATGGGTGAGAATATGTATGTGTGTGTGAGAGAGTGTGTGTGCATGTGTGTTTGTGTGTGTGTGTGTGTGTGTTTAAGCCTGTGTGTGCATGTGTGTATGGGTGTTCGTGTGTGTGTGTGTATGTGTGTGTGTGTGTGTGTACGTGAGTCTTTATGAGTGTGTGTGTGTGTGTGTGTGTGTGTGTGCGTGCGTGTGAGTGTGTGTGTCTGTCTGTATGTGTGTGTATAGGAGTGAGTGTGTGTGTCTGTTTGTGTGTGAGTGTATATTTGTGTGAGTCTGTGTGATTGTGTCTGTGTGTGTCTCTGTGTATGCGTCTTTATGTGTATGTGTCTGTATCTGTGTGTGTGCGTCTTTATGTGTATGTGTCTGTATCTGTGTGTATGTGTCTTTATGTGTATGTCTCTGTGTATGCGTCTCTATGTGTTTGTGTCTGTATCTGTGTGTGTGTCTTTATGTGTATGTGTCTATCTGTGTGTGTGCATCTTTATGTGTATGTGTCTGTGTGTGCGTCTTTATGTGTATGTGTCTGTGTGTATCTGTGTGTGTGCGTCTTTATGTGTATGTGTGTTTCTGTGTGTGTGTGTCTTTATGTGTATGTGTCTGTGTGCATCTGTGTGTGTGCGTCTTTAT